AAAAAAAAAGTCAAATTATCAGCCACATAATAGAAACAGAATTCTTTCAAACAGATCTTATTGTTCAATGTGATATGAAAAACTTTATCATAAAAACAATTTTAAATTTTCAATAATTAAAAAATAATGCAGTTGACAGTGTGAAACACAGGGATAAAATCACTTACCTTGTGGGGCATTAATACATAGTAGAGCTTTGGCCTGAAGTCCACATGGAAGACATAGAAGTTAAGAGATGTATCCTGTTACTAATGGTAATGGCTTTGTTTCCAGCTTTTCTGTTAGACTCCAGCTGCCTGAGTTAGGCTCATTGCTGACATTTTATCCCCTTAAGTTCTTGAGTAAATTGAGACTTACACTGGTTATAACTATGAGGTAAGTTAAAAAAAAAAAAAAATATTTGAAAAAAAAAAAACCTTTTTAAAACTCAAGTGACACTCATGACCATTTGGCAAGGATACCGTTTACCTTAGTGATTTAAATCCTAAAAAGAAGACAACACATTTTTAGGAGGTAGAAAATGAGTGCCAAAAATTTAGTATTTGGACACTCCTCCTTGGTTTGGGCTCTAACCTTGGATCTGAACATTTCTTACTCTCCATTCTCATGTAAAAGCTATTAGTTCTACTACCACTCATAACTTAAAGTTATAGACCTCTGGAGCTGCCAAAATAATTCTTTTTTTTTTCTTTTTGTTTTTCAAAAAATTAATTTAAGAAGCTTTGCTTTTAAGCTACCAAATGTACCCATAAAATAATTACTTAACATGTAAAAAGACATCTACATGTAATTCCAGTATATCAGAGTAGTTACACAAATGTATTTATTTTAGTGATGTTTTCATTGAAGTAATATGAAAAAGCCATATATTAAAACTACATTACTAGAGGACTTCTGGTAAGATGGTGGAATAGGTAGAAAAGCTACACAGATCCTCTTCAACAAAGAAAAGAGAAACCAATTGACAGAGATACAGAAGATAATCCTGGAGCCCTGAGCTTTGAAAGGCAGTATACAGAAGTGGGGGAGCTCTGGTAGCATAGTGGCTAAGGCACTTGACTGCTAACCAGAAGGCTGGTGGTTCAAACCCACGAGCCACTCCTCGGAAGGAAGGTTGGGCAATCTACTTCCATAGTGATACCGCCTCAGAAACCCAAGGAGGGGTTGCTATGAGTCGGGGCTGATTCCATGGCACATAACAACAACAACAAATACAGAAGTGGATTGGGCACTAACTAGTGGAAAAACCTGGATGAAAACAGTGAGTATGGAGACGGTTGGCGCTTCATACTGTCAGCTGCTCTGACAGGACCAACAGTCTGGCTATACACAAGTGGTGCTGGGACCTGAAAATTGACCTAAGATCAGCCCTGGTTGCCAAGTGCTGCAGGGATGACTGCACTGGTGGCCTGTGACTAGGAAGGGAAACAGCAAGGAGGTAGACAACCTGAGCTGTGTGTTTTCAGCTGTCTGGAGGGTATAGCCATTTTGATTATTTACAAGCGGCAGCCATTTTGGATACTTAAAGTGACTGAGAGTGCAGCCATTTTGAATGTTTATAACTGGTGGCCATTTCGGATATTTAAAGTGACCCAGGGTGCAGCCATTTTG